TACCAAAATGTCCAGGTCAGGGATGGGATGAGGGATCCAGCATGGTGGGACCTCCTAAAAATGTCCCAACCTGGTTAAAGCAAAAAGGAGCTGCTGGATTTAAAGGTGAGGGTGTGGAGAGCAGGGATACAGCCCCAGTGGGACTGGGAATTGGGGAATCCCAAACTGGGACACAGGGATAAACCCCCAGTGGGACTGGGAATTGGGGAATCCCAAACTGGGACACAGGGATACAGCCCCAGTGGGACTGGGAACTGGGGAATCCCAAACTGGGACACAGGGATAAACCCCCAGTGGGACTGGGAATTGGGGAATCCCAAACTGGGACACAGGGATGCACCCCCAGTGGGACTGGGAATTGGGGAATCCCAAACTGGGACCTTGTCCTCCAGGCTGGGAGTGCCCAGGGCTGTTATCTGCACAGCCAGGCCCTCTGGGAGTGGGAATATTTTTGCTAAATCTGCAATTCAGAAGAATGAAATCTGCTCCTGACCTCCGGAAGGATCAGAACTATCAAGCAAATGCGTTTTTCTTCCATGGGACCGAACTCACTGTTCCTATTCCCATTGTTCCCAGAACAATGCCGACCTCATAAACGAATTCAGGCGCGAGGGGCGGGGTGTGAGCGAGGGGGGCGAATTCTCCATACATTTAAATCATGCCACGGGCCAACAAAAGGCAGGAAATTCGGAGCTGGAGCTCACACTTGCTCCCAGACATGTAGAAAACAAGGGAATGAGCTGTCACTTAGGATTTCCTGGCTTTCTCCCCCAGTTGGTTGCAGTGTAAACAGCGCTGGGAGGAGACGGGAGGGCTTCGTTTGCTTCCCTCTGTTTCCTCACCAGGGAAAAAAAAAATTTAAAAAAATAAAATAAAATAAAATAATGATTCCCTGTGGAATTGGAGGCACCAGGGAGTCGTGGGTGTGTGCTGGGAGCGGGCTCATCCCATGGGATCACCGTGCCAGGGGCTGCTGCTGCCCCATGGATCTGGGATGGGGCTGTGGGAATTGTGGTGGGATCCTGGAAGTGCTGGAGCATCCCTGGAGCCTCTCGGCTGTGCCAAGGGGCTGCTGCAGCTGGAGCAGGGCTGGCCCTGTTGGCTTGGGAACCACGGGCTGGTCTCTCAGGAGGTGCTGAGCAACCCCTGCTGATGGCTGGGGAGGGGCTGGCAGCAGCTCCCTCTTCCCTCCTGCACAATTCCAGCTCCAAAATCCCCCAGGCAGCCGCTGCTCCCTGGGTTCATTCCTTGGGCAGGAGCAGCCCGAGAAATTTGGAGGAATTTGGATCCTAGAGGAGCCGAATTCGAGCTGGAATTCGTTACTGCGATGCTGCAATGACTCTGGATCTGCTGCTGGATCCTACAGCAACTCCCAGCAGAAGTTTTGGGGTTTGCAGGGCTGGGCTGGCACTTTGGGAGGTTTGTCCCGGGCTCCCTGTGCCCATTTCCAGCACAGGGACTCCTGGGACACCAACGTGGCAAGCTGGACAGCTCAGGGCCACCACCCAGGTCACAGCCCTTCCTCCAGAAAAGCTCAAGGGTTTTTTTTCAAACCCTCCTGATCAGCCCAAGAACTCTACCTGATGTTGCTGTGGGTGAAAAGCAAAATCCAGCCACGTTCATCGTTTTCTGTCACCTTTTGCAGACCAGCAGCCCCAGCCAGTTCCATTCCCTCTCATCACATCTGGCAGGGACAGGGGATGGTGATTCTCAATTTTGGGGCTGCCCCAGCAGATCAGGAGACTTTTCTCCCAATTTTCTCCCTTTTTTTCCCCCCTCTCCCCTATCCCACCCAGCCTCCATCCCCCCCTCAGCATCTCCTTTTCCCATCCCCATCTCTCCTCGATCTCAGAATTCCCTTCAGGCACCTCCCCCCCCAAAAAAAACCCCGCTGCTGCTGGGGGAGCTGGGCTGTGTTTTTGGGATTGGTTTCTCTTGTCCAGGTGCTCACCCAGCCCTGTGTGCCCTCCCTCCCCAGCTGCCCGTGCCCATTGCCGTGTTCTTCCTGCTCTACAAGGAGAGGATGGTGCCCTGTTTCAATGGCAGCAGCCACCCGCTGCTGTCAGCTGATGAGCTGGCCCTGGAGACACGGCCTGGGGACAAGGACGAGCTCTCCACCGCTGGCCAGCGAGCCAACACGGCTGCAGGTGAGCTGGGGATTCCTCTCCTATGGATTTTGGGGGAGAAAAAGCCGTGTTTGAGCATGTCTGGGTGTGGTGAGAGATGCGGTGCTGGTGTCTGAGGAGGAAAGGTGCACAGGGATTTAATCCAGGAATATCCAAACGATCCATTTGCCCTCCAATCAGACGGAATCTTGAGCAGGGATTGGTATCCCAGCCCCAGCGAGGTCTCCAGGCTGTGTTTCTCCATCCCATCTTTCTCTGAGCCATCCTAAAGCCAACCCTGCCCCATGGCAGTCGTGCCCCTTCATTCCCTCCTGGTTTGGGGTCACATTTCTCACTGGTTATTCAGTTTAAAAGTGGTCGTTGTGCTGCAGATGCTGATTTTTCTAGGAAAGGAATAAACAATAAGAAATTTCCCCTCCCTTGTTTGAGGGGAAGAGTGAGATGCAGCAATAGTTTGCTTTTGAGCTCAAGGCTGCACCCTGGCTTGGGGACAATGGTGACATTGTTCTTTCCTGCCCAGGACAGACGTGTCAGAGTCAATTCTTTGGGTAAACAGTGAATCTCAAGTAAATATGGTTTGGGACTATGTTCCGTGTTATTCCTGGAAAGATTCCTGGTTGGTTATTCCTGGCTTTGCCCCTGGGCAATAGAAGGGAATTCCAGGGATTTCTTGGAGGTGAGGGGAGTTGGGATGAGGGGAGGGGAGCTGGGATGAGGTGAGGGGAGCCTCGAAATGGGAAGAGGAGCAGGAGCAGCTGCAGTGAGAGGAGTGGCAGAAGAGCCCAGGATTCCAGGGTGTGGGCAGGAGATATCCCAAGAGCCAGGATTTTGGGGTGTGGAGAGCCCAGGATTTTGGGGTTTGGAGAGCTGGGATTTTGGAGTGTGGAGAGCCCAGGGTTTTGGGGTTTGGAGAGCCCAGGGTTTTGGGGTGTGGAGAGCCAGGATTTTGGAGTATGGGGAGCTGAGATCCCAGGGTGTGGAGAGCCTGGATTTTGGGGTGGGGAGAGCCCAGGATCCTGGGGTGTGGGCAGCAGGTATCCCATAGAACCAAGATCCCAGGCTGTGGAGATTTGGAACGTGGAGAGCTGGGATCTTGGGGTTTGGAGAGCCAGGATTTTGGGGGGTGGAGAGCTGAGATCCCAGAGTGTGGAGAGCCTGGATTTTGGGGTGTGGGCAGCAGGTAACCCACAGATCCAGGATCCCAGGCTGTGGGCAGATCCCATTCCCGTTCCCATCTCCTTCTGGAAGTTTAGGGGAAGGTTGAGGTGAGGTGGAGCCCCCGAGGCCAGCAGTGCTGCCCCACGTTCGGGGTCCCGGCTGGCTCTGTCCTGCAGCTGTCCCACAAACCAAACCCCACGGAGGGCTGGCAGCCACCCAGCCCCGGGGGGACGTTCTGCTCAAGTTTGCTTTGCATTGTTCTCCACCAGGTCACGAGGATTTGTTCAGCTGCTGCCAAAGCAAAAACTTCCAAGGGGCTTCCTTCACCTATTTCGCCGTGCACATCACCGGGGCTCTGGTTCTCTTCATGACTGATGGCATCGTGGTGAGTTCAGTTGCCCAAATCTCGGCATTTTTTCCCTTCCAAACCCTTGTGACACCTTGTGAATTAATGGTCAGAGGGGTTACACAGGTATGGGAACGTCCCAGGCTCTCCACACCCCAAAATCCCCAAGGATATCTCCAAGGATAACCAACCCTGAGCTCTAAATGTGATTTTTGGAGAGCGTGTGGAGCTCCAAGAGGGCAGGGCAGCCCAGGCTGGGCTTTTCCCCTGAGCTTTTCCCTTTTAGGACAGACTAAACCCCACATCCCACTGCTGCTGAGGAGCCTGCAGTCCCCAGGGGTGTGACAGGGCGGTTTTTCCTGCAGGGAGAATATTCGGGTTTCGTGTACAGCTACGCCGTGGAGGAGCCGCTGGCCGTGGTGCACAAGGTGGCCGGGTACCTGCCCAGCCTTTTTTGGGGTTTCATCACCCTGGGCAGGCTCATCTCCATCCCTGTGTCCTACAGGATGAAGCCAGCCACCATGGTCTTCATCAACGTGGTAAGGATGGGGTTAATTGCTTTAATTGGTCAATCGTTGTGGGTGGGTTTGGAGATGCAGCTCCTGTCGCTCACACCTGGCACAGGTAGGGGTGGGGCAAGGTGTCCTCCAGGTAGCCACGATTTAAAACTTGATTGCCCAACTTTGCTGAGCCCGTTCCTGGGTGTGAGGAGTTGGGAAAGCACCAGGAGAGCTGGCACTAAAAAAGTGCCCATTTTATTTATTTGATTACCCTGGTGCCTCCTTCATCCACGGGGAAATGAATTGCTGGGATAGTCGTGGGAAAGGGAAGGCAGATCACGCTGTAAATTCTCTGCTTGGGCTGCAGCAGCTGGGAAAGGTTGCTGAAATTAATAAAACACCTTGGGAAAGGGGCAGGAATCCTTTTGGGATGTGTGAGGAAGATCTGTGTAAGGACATGGCAGGAAACAGGGAAGGGTGATCCCAATCTCACTTCCTACAAAGAAAAACACAAGCAGGAGGTTAATTCCCAATTTATTTGAACCAGAAGTGATTTTGTTTGCTGTATTTTGGTGATAGAACAATTACACACATCTAACAGGGTGGGGAGAAGATTTTTGGGATGTCCTGAGTAAAAATCCACCTGGCTGACACTGACCCTGTGCAGTGCTGGGAGCTGTTGTGGGATCCAGCAGCTCCTGGAGTCGTTGCAGCATCATCACAACAAATTCCAGCTGGAATTCGGCTTCTTCAGGATCCAAATTTCTCCTGAGCACTCGCACAGGGCTGCAATCAAGGCCTGACCAATTAAAATAAAACCAGCTGGAATATCAGAGCTCCCTCTGCTGCCTCTGCCCTGGATCACTCGGGCATTCCCCTGAGTTTTTTGGTTATTTCCTGTAAAAAACAGAGGCGAGAGAAAGTTGATTTAAATGCAGTTGCTCCTTTGGCTTTAAAGCCGTGTCTGCTTTCTGAGCAGTTACTGAGAGTTAATTCTGTAATTATCGAGAGTGACTCCAGCCTTATTCAGCAGAATAAAGAATTATTAGTGACTAAGACATGTAAGTATTGTGGAAGGCACTATTGTATTTAAAAGTGCATTTTTCAGATAAAACCTTAGGTTTCTACCTAATGAAATTGAGACTCGGTGACCAAATTATATAATGAAAATCAGCAGATTCTTTAAAGCCAGATGGATTTTCTTTGGCCATTAAAGCCAGGTGGATTTAATGAAGCTGAATCAAACTGATTTTCTTTGGCCATTCAGTTTCTCAAACACTGATTTCTTTTTCCTCCAGCATATTTTCCCTTCCAGACTATTTCCTATTAAAAAATAAACATATTTTCCTCTCCAGACTCTTTCCTATTAAACCCAAACTCTAGCCCCTGTTGCACTGAGCATTTTTCTGACTGATTTTTTTGTGGCTCCTGCTCACAGGTCGGGGTCCTCATCACCTTCCTGCTGCTCCTGATTTTCTCCTCCAGCGTGGTTTTCCTGTTTGTGGGCACAGCATCCCTGGGGCTGTTCCTCAGCAGCACCTTCCCCAGCATGCTGGCCTACACTGAGGACATCCTGCAGTACAAAGGTGAGCTGCCATTTGGCCAGGTGCATTTTTGGACCTCATCCCCCATTTTTTTCAGCTCCTTCCCTCCTCCCTCGAGAGGCCTGGAAGTTCAGTTTTGCTTTTGAAGGCAGATTTATTGCAGAGAAGAGTCAAATTCTCTGTTTGGTTAATGGATAATGAGGCCAGGCAGGGAATCCAGCCTTGGATCCTGGTTTGGGGAGCTCAGGGAGTGACAGGAACTCTGCTTTGGTTCTGAAAACATCACCAGATTACCTGAGCTGGAAACCCCAGAGCCTGAGCTCCTCCAGGGAGCCTCAGTCTCGAGGGCAGCGAGACAGAAAAACAAAAACCTTCCCAGCAAGAGGCAGCAGCACAGGCAGGTGACAGGAGATTGATTCTTTTAATTTCCACCTTTCTGCCCCGCTGCAGCTCTGCAGAGGGATTTTCAGCTTTAAGTGGGAACATGCATTGAGTGTTTGTGATTTTTGTGTGCTGAGATCCATGGAAAAGCTCTGAAGGGGCTCAGGGTGGCCCTGCTGGCTGTGCCACCTCTGGTGCCACCAGCCCCTGCCCTGTTTCCTTGCAGGCTGTGCCACGACCGTGCTGGTGACTGGAGCTGGCATTGGAGAGATGGTGCTGCAGCTGCTGGTGGGCTCGGTGAGTAGCCAGGAGGTGGCAAAACCCAAAATAAATTCGGAATTTACAACTCAAAACCTCAGTTCTGCTTCTGGGCACTGGCTGAGCCTTATCAGCCAGCAAAGCCTGATGATCCGTGAGGAATCTGAGTGATGTCTGGTCCTTTTTTTAATTTCCCATCCCCCTGCAGATTATCCATGATCGGGGCAGCTACAGTTTCCTGGTGTGTGGGATGATTTTTGGGTGCCTGGCCTTTACCTTCTACGCCCTGCTGGTGTTTTTCCACAGGATGTATCCCAAGCCCTCCCCAGGTAAGAGATCCCAAACCCTGAGCCCTGCTTTGGGATGGGAGCGAGAGCAGCACAAGCCTGGCTGCAGAGCATTCCAGCAAAATGCAAGGAAATGTTTATTTTACTGCTGCTTCCTCTCTCCTTTTCCTGCTTTGTCTTGCCCACAAAGCCTTGGCAGCCACAGCTCAGGGTTTGCTTTCTTTTCTGCTGGAGAAGCAAAGGGGGGAAAAAAAAAGCAGGAATCACAGACAGCACCAGCTTCCCTGGGCTGTTCCCTGGCTGAAATCCAGGGAATAAATGGGGCTGCCAGCCAAGGGCAGCTGTCAGGCTCTTGGAAAAACCTCACTGATAAAGGATTTTTGAGTTATCACCTCAGTCTGGAGCTGCTGGTTGTTTTTATACAAAAGGAGCAGAGTGGGAAAAGCAAAAAAAAAAAACGCATCCAGGTGTGGCTTGAGGGATGTGACCAGTTCTGGGCTCCCAGTTTGGGAGGGGAATGGGGCTGGGGAAGGGTCTGGAGAATCCTGAGGGATTTGGGGAAGGTTTTGGAGAATCCTGAGGGATTTGGGGAAGGGTTTGGAGAATCCTGAAGGATTTGGGGAAGGTTCTGGAGAGTCCTGAGGGATTTGGGGAAGGGTTTGGAGAATCCTGGGGAATTTGGGGAAGGGTTTGGAGAATCCTGGGGGTGTCCAGGGAAGGATTTGGAGAATCCTGAGGGGAGATGGGAAGGGTCTGGAGAGTCCTGAGGGATTTGGGGAAGGGTTTGGAGAATCCTGAGGGGAAGGGGCTCAGCCTGGAGAAAAGGAGGCTCAGGGGGAATTTGTGGCTCTGCACAACTCCCTGACAGGAGGGGCCAGCCGGGAGGGATTTGGGATCTCATCCCAGGGAACAGGGACAGGAGGGGAGAGGGATTTTAGCAGGAATTTCCTCATGGAAAGGGTTGTTAGACACTGGAAGAAGGATCCCCCCATCCCATTCCCAGGGTAGGCCTGGACGTGGCACTGAGGTGTGGGTGTGGGGGATGATGGAATAAAACCATTCCTGAGGGGAAAACCTCCCAGCCATCCCCTTTAACCTCAATTAAAGTGTCCGTTCAGGTGAAATATTGAAGGGATTTCTTGCAGAGCTGGACGAGGCCTCCCCTGGCAGAGCAGCAGAGCCCGAGGACACGGGGCAGTACCAGCGCTGAGGGACGGCCCAGCCCTGCACAAGCAATAAATCAAATTAAACATCACTCCCAAGGCTGATCTCCCTTTTAATGAACTGAATCGGGCGAGTTCTCTGCAATCAAAAGCACAGGAGGTGGGGTAAAGGCAGAACGGAGGAAATCCAGCCCAAAAACGTCTGAGCTGAGCACGGGGTTGTGGCAAAAAAGAAAAAACAAAACAAAACCCTAGGACTGGGGAAAAAAAAAAAAAAAAAAAAAAGCCAGCCTGACCCTGGGACTGAAACAGGGATGTTTGCACAGCAACTCCTCCTGAAAATGAACTTTTCTTTTTTTTACCTGCTCAGGACAGAGGGTGGTGAGGAAAAGCCTCTCTCTGCTCCTCATCCAAGACTGAATGTCTCCTGCCTTGGTCACTGCGTTTGAATTGATTTTGATTTCTGGCCTGTGGTGCACAGGATCCCCCCTGGAATTTTTACAGCACAATCCTGGGTTTTAATTCGTTTCTGTGACTCGGGTCAGTGTCACCTCCCCGGTTCCTTCCCAAGGGGGGAATTCCTCCATGGCAGAGCCCCTCCAGGTGCACACAGGCCTGTCTCTATTTGCACATTTAATTCCTGTATATTCCACACTAAACAGTGTCTTACTCAGCATGCTCAGGCCTCTTAAATGATTTTAAGTAATCATTTGCTTTTCTCTTTATTTTTTTTTTTATTTTTTTATTTTTGGGGGGTGGCTTCCTTTTGTTTTTTTTTTTTAAATTAAGAATGAGCTGTGCTGGTTTGTTTTGCTTTAAGTCACTCCTCCAGCTGCTCCAGTGTCTTTTTTTTTTCTTCTTTTAATTTTTTTTTTTTAAAGGTTGATTTTATTTCCACCTTCCAAGCTGGAAGCTTTAAGAGAGAAGGAATTTTTTTTTTTTTTTAATTTGGGAGCCAGGCTCCAGCTGCTTCACCTGTGCAATCTCCTCATCCAGGTGCCTTGTGTAAGGTACTCCCAGCATGGCCTGTCCCAGCCACCAGCACAGGACTGGATTTCTTTTTTTTTTTTGAGGAATATCAAAAATTCCTCCTGCCAGGAGTGGCTGTGGATGTAACTCCTCGCTTGAACTGCTGTATGTGATGTACATATGGAGGTGTGTATATAGAGCAGTGGTTAATTAAAGGTGATTGATTGCTAATTGCTCGCTGACTGGATCATTTCTCAGGTTTTAAACTCAGGCTGAATCTAATGGATTTCTCTTTTTTTTTATTTTTAATTTAATTAAAATGGTTTTGGTATTTGAAGAATTGTGGAATGGGTTGGGCCCATCCCATGGCCAGGGACGCCTCCCACTGTCCCAGGTTTCTCCTTGGACACTCTCACAGATTCCCTGGGAAATTCCCATTTTTTTTTCCAAGCAGCAGCTTTTCCCTGCTATAAAAAATCTCCACAAACTCCTGCAGGAAAGAGCCTGGAATTGTTGAATTTCCATTTTCCTCCCTCAAGGTGAGTTTGGGTCGGGTCATTGCAGCTCAATTCTGGGTTTAGCTCATCCCTGGACTTCAGGGACCCCTCCAGCCTCAAATCCCACAGTTGGAATTTTTTTCTGTGATCCTGTAATGAAATTAAACCGAATTCCAGGCCAGGCTGGAGGTGTTTTTAGGGTGCTTCCATCCCAAACCCTTCTGGGATTTGATTCCAGGTCTATTCCAGGCTGTAATTCTTCTGCAGCTCCACAGGATGCCACTGTTCATCTCCTGGACCTGCCCAGAATAAATCACCCACAATAAAACCACCAAGGGCTGCAAAACTCATTTACAGCAAAAAAAAAAAAACCAAAAAACCCCAAATCTGTTCTTCCTCGAGCTCCTCCCACCATGAGAGCATCTCTGGGCCCTGCTCAGAGGAAATGAGCACCAAAGAATTCCAGCAGGGAGCAGATCTGGGCAGAAATGTCCCCAGTTTGTGTCACACCAGGGCTGGCAGTTTTTAAGGCATCTCTCATTCTGGCCCGGCAGATTTGAGAAATCTCTTCTGAATTAAAATTCACCCTCACATTTCTTGGGTTTGGTAATTCCATTATTTCATTCCAATCAATCTCGTTATTTTATTCCAATAAATCTCCTTATTCCCTTCCAATCAATCTCCATTTTGGCTACTTAAGAAGAAAAAAAAAATCATTTTTTAAGGAAATTTTCACCAGAACAGCACCTGATTTAGCAAAAATCTTTAAAATACAATTTACACCTCAAGGTCTGATGAACTCCCTCCTTATCACATCCCCTGCAGCTGTAACTTTCTATTTGCTCTACTGAAAAAAAACCCAAAAAAACCAGTCAAATGAGCAGAAACTTTGTTAAAAATATTTATTTAAAAAAATACAATTGTTTTGCATGTCTGGTTGCACATAACTATTAACATATGATTGACTTGAATAATTTGCTACAATGCTTTTTTTAAAGCCAGCTTGCATTATACAAAGCAAAATCCCTCTGTCAGTTCTTACATAAAATAGTTTTCTTTAACTATTCCCACCCCATTTTTAAAAAAAAAAAAAAAAAGATTGCAATACATTGATTTTTATTTTTCTTTTTTTTTTTTTTTTTTTTTTTTTTGCACAAAAATCGAAGCAATAGAAAAAAGTCACCTGATTTCTCAGGAAAGACCTTCATGGTGTTTGAGTAACAATTCCCAAAATGCCAAAGCAGCATTTGTCACTTTTGAAGTGTCAGGACAGTGCAAAGGAAGTTTTGCATCTTTTAAAAAAAAAAAAAAAACAACTTTTGCCTCCCAATTGTACTCAAACCTGAAATGTGCTCAAACAACTCCATCCCTGCCCTAATCCAGTTGCCCAGATTTTGAATTTTCAGGATGATTTACACGCTGAAGGTCTTCCTCAATGTTATCTCTGAAGGTTAAATAAAAGCAAAATTTAGTAACACTGAACAATTACTGAAAACTTTGGCTATTTATGTACTTGCATTACATACCAGCATTTTTTTAACTTTTTTTTTTTTTTTTTTTTTTTTTAAACACAATGGCATTAAGATACTCTAATAAAATATTTAAAAAATAAAAAGTTAAACTGAGAAGCAATTTTCTGTCCCAGGCAGGGTCACCCAGCTGGAACAAGGGGTGACTTTTACAATTGTCTTGTCCAGAAAAGTCTCCAGTGTAGGAAGTTTCAGACACTCACTACAACATAATTTTGCCTCTTGAATTTGTAATATATATATATATATATATTTATATATATATATATTTATAGAGAAAATAAAAATGCAACTCTGTTCTGGAAAGAGCCACTGGAAATGTTCCCCCTTCTGCTTTCAGGGGAGTTTTCACCACTGATTGTTCTAAAAAATCCCAGCAAGGTCAAACTGGGAAAACTCCAGAGTTCCAGAGGGAGGGATCTGCTGGCAGCTCCCAAAAAAAAAAAAAAAAAATAAACCTGCCAAGATCCCAGCTCACCTAAAAATCCAGCCTAAAATCGCCTTCCCAAAACAGATGTGCACCCCAGGAATGAACAGGACAACACTGGGGGGGAGCTGGAGGGGCTAAAAATGGATAAAAATCGATTTAAATTGATTTCAATCCCTCCAAGACACAAAATCCTGCCCGGCCCAGCCCAGGATTGTGACCTCCCAAAATTCCTGCTGCTGAAGGATTCACCCCCAGATTCATTCCAGCTGTGTTTCCCTAGAATTTTCTTCTTTTTCTTCTTTTTTTTTTTTTTTTTTTTTTTTTTTAAAATTCCAAATCAACTTCTCAGCTCTAAATGCAGAGGGGGAATAAGCATTTAAATGTGCTACTGTACCCATCACAAAGCACTGTGACGTACATAAGGCCATCTGGTAACACTGCAACAGGCTACAAAACAAGTTGGAAAAGGGAATTTTAGGATCTTTTTCAAAGCTACAAAGAATAAATCTCAACCCTGTTCACAGAGAATGAAACGTTTCAAAAGTGTATTTTTATACAGAAAAAAAAAACCAACTCTGTGCAACTGAACAACAGCAGAACAACAACAACAACAAGAACGAAAAAAAAAAAAAAGAAAAAGTCAACACAATTCTAGGAAGCAGTTTCAAAGCTTAGAGGGGTTAGGACATGCTAGGGAAAAATAAAAAAAAAAATTAAAAAATAAAGAAAAAAACAACCCCAAAACACATCCCAAAGAGCTCAGAGCAAAGCCAAGGGATTGGAATATTGGAATATTGGAACCCCCCCAGCCCAGCACACAGCACACTGCAGGAACCATGCACAGCCCAACCTCAGAGCCTTCCTGTGCTCCAAAATACACAGAAAAACAACAATTAAAAAAAAAACAAAAAATCAAAATAAAGAAGCTTCCAGTTATTGGTACAGCACTGCTGAAATGGGCTCTGCACTCAGCTCCTGTCTCCACTCACATCCCTGTTTTTTCAGGATTTCAGGATTTTCCTGTCCCACCCCTGCTTTGAGATGAAAACCTCCTGCAGCACAACCTCAGCACAGAAATCTTTTCAAACCGAGCCCCCAAACTTTTTGCTCCATGCACACGGAGTTACTCAAAAAACACATTTAATTCACTTTTCTCTTTGTCTCAGGAGATGTGGTAACCAAGATCAAAAAATAACATTTGGCAACTCATGAGTCCACTTTGGGGAAGGATTGATTTGAGTGCTAAAAGTGAAGAAAAAAGCCCCAAAAAAAAAAAACCTCCCAAAGGAGTGCAAAAAATATTTCAAAGTATTGACTGCAGAGTGCAGAATCTGCCTGGGGGGAGGATGGGGATATTTATATGGATTTTTTGGGAATAAAATCCTGCCAGGCACGACCCACGTGTGCTCCAGGCAGAGCTCTTCCAGCCACGCTTCAACATTGAGGAATCTTAAAAAAAAAAAAATAAAAAAAATAAAAAAATTACAAATTTTCAGCTCTGAGTGTGCTTCTCATCAGGGCCTGGAAGAGCTCCACAAGCAAAATCTGCTGCTTTCTTTGGGATGAGGAAAAGAAAATTCATTTCTTGCCAGTTTGAGGGTGGTTTTGTTCCAAAATAATTTAATTTACAGGAAGCAGAGATTTTGCTGTTCCAACAGGGAAATATTGGAATATCCAAGGAGAAACAAGAGCCCTGCCCACCTTGTCCACCTGTGGTCAGACAGAAAAACAAATCTGCAGGGAACACATTCCCCTGATTCCTGCTTGTTCCTGGCACCAATCAAATCCCTCAGTTCAGG